TGTAGGGAGCATTTGGGACACAAATGGTATTGCTTCGGTAATCATCTTGCTTCATAGCCCATAGCAAGGAAACTGCCAATTTTGTCCACCTTACATTGTTGTATTTATTGTAGTAGTAAATAGTGGACCCACCTGAGATCGTATAGTGCCTAATGCAGTGGGGCTTCATACTTACAGCCCTTGTTCTGTAGAATTTATGGGGGTTTTTTAGAGAAGGCAAAGATTAGGACTAGTGGCTGAGCTGAAACAACTTGCCCAAGATCACACAAGGGGGGCAGTATGTGTGGGAGTGAGCGGACTTTTGTGCCTGGGCTTGTAAATGTTATTGATCATTTTCCAATATTGATTTCAAGTAAAATGTGTGGACTACAAAATAGCAATAATGATCTAGTTTTTAAATGTAATGCCCAGAAAGTGAGACAAAGGGTTAGAAGTGAGGAGAGAGCTTTTGCTTCTTTAACTGTAGTCATGTTTCCAGCACTTTGAACTTTTTATTTTTGATGTGATCTTCCTGTTTCTTGAGGTAAAACCAGACAGAAAGAACAAATGAGCTAATTAAGGCTCATGAACCTTTCCTTAGTTTAAAGCAGCCTATATGTGACTTAATGGGTGAAGTTCCTTTAAAAACAAAGAGGTATTTTTCTGTGTACAAAAGATGCTAGGCTACTTTGGCTGACTTCATATTGAGGTTGCAGGAAAAGAGGCATACAACTAGTCTACCACTTTCCCATGATGAAGTCATTATAAATCCCACTACCTCATAAGGGAAGGTCAGTGGGTTCACTTTCAGACACTCTTATGCATTATTGTCTACAAGAACTACACATTCTTGATGTCATACAAATGCTCTCGGCTTCCTTTTAATTTTCTTTGTTGTCTCTTATTGCCTTGTAGTGGAAAACTTACAATCCATATTTTTCACAAGTTGAAATTTGGTTCCGATTTGTATTTGTGGTTCTTACTTTCATAGTCACAGTGAGTACTGTCTTACTTTTTTGGGTGGTTGGGTCAAGATTGTGTATTCCATCTCTCCCTTAGGACTGCATTTGGTGGTGTAACTCCGGACATTAGCAACACATAGTATTGTGCATGTGCAAGACAAATTTTAAAGACTTAACAGAGTTTTGTGCCTTTGTCATTTTTTTGCAAGGAGTTCAATGGCTTAATTCTATGTGAATGATAAAGTTCAGATATATTCCTGTTTGTTTAAGTAGGGGCAAGAAAGCATTAGAAATGAATGGTTAAAGCATATTTTTTTTCTTACTGTGTTTGTATAACATAGAATGGCAGAGAGAATTTGGCTCAAACCCCTGTTTCCTCTCCTCACTTCCCTGTCAGCCTCCCTCCTCCTCCCCCTCCTCTTCCCTTTTGGGCTGAGGCCGAGGACAAAAAACCCCCGAAAACATCAGGTAGACTAAAGAATTTTGGAGATAATGGAAAAAAATCATTGGGTTATAATAAATCCATAAGTAACTTCAAATGTAGCTTGTGTTTGCTTAGGTACTTAGTAAAATACAGTGAAAATGTGTGCATGGCATGCAGGTAGCAGTGACTGTGGTATATAATCAGATCTGTCACTGATAGTCATAGAATCATAGAAAGTTAGGGTTGGAAGGGACCTCAGGAGGTTCATCCAGTCCAATCCCCTGCTCAAAGCAGGATCACTCCCAACTAGATCATCCCAGCCAAAGCTTTGTCTAGCCGGGTTTTGAAAACCTCCAAGGAACAAGTTTCCACCACCTCTCTGGGTAACCTGTTCCCAGTGCTTTACTAACCTCCTAGTGAGAAAATTCTTCCTGATATCTAACCTAAACTTCCCTTGCTCCAATGTGAGACCATTGTTCCTTGTTCTGTCATCTGCCACCACTGATAACAGTCTGGCTCCATCCTCTTTCGAACCTCCCTTCAGATAGTTGAAGGCTGCTATTAAGGCTGCTATCATAGAGCATAGTTGGTGGACTAACATGAGCAGATATCAATATGTGCCAGTAAGACCAAATGGAAATTTGACAGCACCATGCATGTTTTGTTGCCTTGCACAGTTAGCAGCTGGTTTCCATTTTAGACTACCTGAGAAGTTAAGTGACTTGTTCACGATCATAAAATGAATGGAACTAGAAATGAAACTTTGAGCATCTGAATTCGTGTCATAGTCTACCCATTAGAGCACATCCCTGTTAGGTGATGTTGTTAATAATACTAAAAAATCTGCTACCTCTGTTAAGGTTACAGCATGGTCTTTGTCAATTTAATTTTAAATTTGTGTTTCAGTGCCTGTTTGCACATTCCCTCCGGAAATTCTCCATGAGAGACTGGGGAATTGAACAGAAATGGATGTCCATCCTCCTACCCCTGTTACTGCTTTACAATGGTATTTTAAAATATGCTCTTTTTTACAGGGTCTCATAAAAATGAACTTGGCCCATTAAACTACATGTAACTGCTTATAAGAATTCAGTCGAGTACTCATTAACGGAGTTGAAAAATATTGAAAGAAGGTTGTTGTTTATACAAATCAGACTCAAAGGGATAATCAGAAAGAAATGAAAACCATCTACTGGTCTTTCAAACAAATCTTGTTTTCTGTTTAGCATTCTGAATTAGACAAGTAGTTATATCTATATTGGATTTTAAATGTAATGTTTCAGTGTGCAGTTTAATTTAAGCCCTTTCATTTAAGTGACTCTTTAGAGGTGCTGAAATAGCAGTTTCATCTTTATTAAACGTGAAGACTGTTTTCAGATTCTAATTTGTTAACCCAAGCCAAATGCTAGAGATTGCTAACAAGTATCAAAATAGTATCTGGCTCCCAATTACTTTCATAATTACACTGACACTTGTTGGGCAACTAACAAGAAACAGTTGTCTGGTAGTAGATGCAAACTCTGTTACCAGATTTGTCCATCATTTTGGGGTGTGCTCACCTATTGGGGGTATGTTTCTGGGGTCTCTGTAATTCTATCAATGTGCTGCTTGTGATACTTGTGTGTCTATATGGAGCTGTATCTCCCTTCTGCAAGTCCTCACCCACAGTGGAGCTACCTTGCAGGACTCAGTTTCAATGGGACTGGGTTCCTCCAGCCACCAAATCAGTCAAACATACATAGACACAGATTAACAGGACACGCCTCAGCCAAACCAGGTTATTTAGCAGTGACAGGCTAACACCCTCATATGCCTTGAACTAAGTTCATCAGGGCAACAATCAAATGCAGTCAGTGACAAGCACATGGGTTAACAGAGTGCATCTGAGTCAGGCCGGACTATTCAGCTTTAATAGGCTGATACCCTCATGTGCCTTGAACTCAGTTCATCCCTTATTTCAGCAGG